ATATTATTTTTAGTCAATACGGCCTCATTATCTTCAAAAGAAATCTTCATTCCACATTTTCCTAATAATCCCACAGAAATTAAAATTAATTCGGACATTAGGAACATACAATACATTACTCAATGCCAAAGTTTTACCAGATGTGAGTTTGAGAGGAACTTTTCCTTTTTCAAGAACTTTAGTTGTCCTTGAGTTACCAAGATAAATAATATCTTCTCCTTTGTCAACTTGGGTATTTGACACAAAAATCATTTTTATTTATACAAATGTGTCTCGTAGCACCAGAGTCTATCACCAAATTTCTCACATTTGACTCAACATTTTTATCTGCAATTAATGACCGCAATACCATATCATCAGTTTCAGCTAAATTTATTTTTAGCTTAGCGGGATTGTCATTTCTTTCTAATATTCTTTTGCATTGAGGTGTATTTTCCATGAAGGCTTTATTATTAGCATTGAACTTGTAACCATGTCTATTTACATACTTGTATTTTTCTTTACCATAAGCCTCTGGTAGAATGACTTGAACAGTAGCAGTTAGGGCAGCACCAACATCAATATCATCCATAGTTTTAGGACACATATGACATATAATAAATGTCTTGAAACTATTGATGATACTGATGTTGGTGCTACCCTAACTACTATTGTTCAACCAAATATTTGTTTCAAATGAATTTATTTTAAAGTGTATTTACAAAGCTAAAATAATTAAGTTGTATTGAAAATATAACTTGGAGAAATGGTAAGCATGACAGTGTATGCCATTCTTTTTCACCCTCTTTTGACACTTGTCTCATGATGGAATTTTGCATGAAAAATAATAGACAAGTGTCTAAGTCACTTGTCTTATGATAAAGTATGTTTCTTTTTTTTTCCTTATAAATAGGTATCTTGCCTTGAGGAAATACACAGGCAATAACAAAAACTATTCTCTCTTACTCCACCTCACGTTTTACCCCTCTCTCTCTTTAATTTTCTCTTTCTAGTTAATCAGTTATTTTGGTTTTGTTATTTAATTTCGGCACTAATCATTTGTTGATATTAATTAATTTGTTGATTCAGTTATTCTCTATTTATCAGGGAAGGCTTGTTTAATTCTGGAAAAACATTTCATACCATTGAAATAGTTTTTTAGGACAGTGTCCAGCACGACTCAAGTATTAATTTTCTGAACATTTATTTATACATCATTGTAGTAACATTTATCTATTTTCAGGACTACTATTTTACTAAATAATAAGTGATATTATTATTGTGATATTTTAATTGTTCCCCAATAATATGTACATACTCTAGAACTTATTTTATAACTGCACTACTTTTATTGTCATATATCTCTTATACGTCAATATTCGTAAAGGATGAAAATCATTTACACTCCCAAATTTTGATTTAAAAATTAAACTACCCGCTCAATTTTGAAAAATGTTCACTCTCCCCTTTATCTTATGCCTAGCCTACTTTATCCTTGCCATTTTTAATCATCTATTTATGTAGCATCTTTTTATATTATATAATATTTTTATTTTTTAACCTATGTATTTATAGATTTTTATTTTAGTTCATTAACATTAATATAAATAGAATAATCCTTTTATAAGTTTGTTGCAAAATCTAATATTATTTTTTTATGATTGTGATTTTAATATTACGTGCATTAAGTACATGTAAGCGTGTGTATGTATTATGTGCATGCATATTTAAATCTCGAGAAAATAGCCAAATGACCCCCAACATATTACAGGATCTCCAACTACACACCTATTCTCTGCGGGAGTCCTATTACCCCCCTGAACTACTTTAAAATGGAATAAATAACCCTTTAAGTGTTGAGTTGGCATGGAGAGTATATTTCACTCTCTTTGAGAGAGTGAGTTGCCTATTTATTTATTTTTTCCATTTTTTTTCTAGTTTTCTTTTTCTCTCTTTCTTCTTATTTATCTATACAACATTTTTCACCATTATCATTGTTGAAACGTTTTCAATGAATGTTTGAAATAAAAATTATCAACAATAATGCATTTAATGAATAAATAATTTTTCAATAAACTTATTTAGAACATATCTAACATATTAAATTTATTTTTTTAAAAAAATATACCCATTAATTAATTTTTTTAAAGTGATGGATTCAAGAATAACAAAATCAAAGTGAAGTAATTGTATATTTAAAAAATATTTTCAAACTTAATAAAAGAAACTAAAACAAAACGATTTCTTCTACATTTTGTAAGAAGGATCCTACATGTTCTCCTAAAATTCATGAAGAATCAAAATCAAAAACTCAAATTATAAATTAATCATGAAAATTTTAGAGGGAGAATTAATAAAGAATGGGGAAGAGAGAGGTTTCTCAAATTGGTGTTACAAATTGGTCTTCTCATCCGCGATTATTTTGAGTTGTCGGCGGAATCTTCAAGGGATGAATCTGATCTCGAATGTTCATGACCCATTTAATGTGTATCTGAAATTGTCTAATAAAGAAAATCGAACGAAATGTAAAAAAACATGGAAAATTATTGAATTAGTTGGATGAAATATTTGATTAATTCGGATCGCTATCTTCTAGACTCTAGAGATTCGGAGTAGATGAAAAGGTGAGTTGAATTTTCGTTTTTATAAAATGTTAGAGATATAGAAATTTATTGAGGTAAAAAATGGTGTTTAGTATAGTTAGGGTTGAAAAAACGATTGGGGAAGAAAGAAAGAGGAAGGAGGAGAACTTTTTTAAAAAAAAATCATTAAATGGTGAAATACACATGTCAAGTGCTTGTATTTCACCACAAGACAGATGTCTGGTAATGGACATTTCAAGGAGGAAGTAATTCCACTTTAAAATAGCTCGGGGGGTAATAGGATCCCTGTGAAGTAGAAGTGTATAGTTGGAAATCCGGTTATATATTAGGGGGTCATTTGGTGATTTTTTCTTTAAATTTCACTTATTTCTTAGGCATAATACGTTGACGTGCTTTTTAACTTATTGGTCTCAGTTAACACATACAAAACCTTAGCTTTGTTGACTTCATGAGGTTTAACCTTCGACACGACATTAGTGGCTTAACTCTTTATGCTTCCCGCAGGCTTTTTTATGGAGAAAGAGTGTGGGGGGGGGGGGCGGATTCACAACTATAGCCTCCTTAGATGTGTATAAGTAGATCAGTTCAAATGTATCTCAGGCAAATTGTCATGTATGATGCATATGTCTACTTATTCAATTTTATACAAGTTTAATTAACTGTCTACTTGTGCACACTCAAAGTTGGAGGACGTAGATGCTAGTTGAATCCAAGTTAAATGACATGTCTATGTATTTTGTCTATTTCTTATTCTCTATTATCTACGTAGAAAAATAAAGTTTGATTGTCATTTTTAAAATATTTTTTAAAATTATAAGTTCAGTTGTGATTACAATATAAATAGATAATCTTTTAAGAAATTATTTTAAAATATATCTTTATTTTTATTAATCATTTTTTGTATTACTTGCATCGAAAAATGTTAATATGGTTAGCACATTATAAAATCCGTTACAATCGGTTCAAGATCTAATCCAATTCGAATTTGCTTAGGTCAAAACGGATTGAGTCAAAATGAGTTAGATAATGAATAACATTACGGGTCAAGATTCAATTCAACCTAATTTTACTGAGCTTAATTATTTTATTTGTTCTTTTAAACTACTTTAGTCTTTAGTATCTTATAAGATAAAATTTATTTTTCAGAATATACATTATATTGTATATGAAACAAGGTGAAAATGAAACATGAATGAGATAGAAGAAAGTAACCACTTGTTTCTTTTCTCTTTTCTTCATTAATTATTTGGACCAATTTAAATATGAAAATATGTAGTAAGCTAGGGGAGTTGTCATGATGATATTTTAATAATTTGAAGAAATTAATTGCAAAGAGATATATAGTAATTCTTAAGCAAGAATACATAATTCACCCACTCATAAATTTAATGTACCTTTACGAGCCATAAATAAATTGATAGGACTAGTCAAATTGAACTTTATTTTTGACTTTTTGTCAAGTTGATATGAAATTATAATCCTTTATTGAACAAGTCAAATATTACAAACACACTTAGAATGAACACAAACAAGCATCATATAAATTAGTAAAAAAATGTTAGGAAAAGAAGTCAAATAATCAAAGTCAAACATTTCTCTCTTATTTTAAAAAAAACCTGAAATTTCCAATCCATTAATGTCATGGCATATTTTTTAAATTACAAAGTCAAAAAAAATCTTTTTATTTCATAAACTTCATGCTCAAGAATCACATAAAATGAAAATTTGGAGTATTAAAATATGATTGGTTGAAATAGTAACCCTAAAATTAATTCGTACGTACGAAGTGACGTATTTTCTTCTTTTTTTGTTGCCCTCTTTCTGTCAAAATTGAAAAATAAGAGAGGGGTGGGTTCACAAAGCCTAAAGCATGGTTTGTATAAATAAAAAAATAAAAAATGAATTCACTTCTTGACCACTTTGCAGTTTCTAGAAGTTGACTTTTTATTTATTATGTTATGCATTGATTCATTACATTATTTCTTGCGTCAGAAATAACAAAAATACATTTCTATTTGTAAGGAATTAATAAATAGAATAAAATAAAAGAAAATATGTTATTTTCCTTAAACATTCTAAACTAAAAGGAAACTATCTATTTGGTAATTGATTTAGATTCTAGAGTTAGACATAAAATAAATGTTCTAAAATATTTCTAGACTAAAGAAGAAAGTAAATATCCTACCATTAATATAAATCTAGAAAGAATGTAAATCTTAACACATTATGCTATATATAAAGTGAGTACTCTATATATAGTATATACTGTATATATATAGATAGATAAATATAATTTTAGAAGTTGACTTTTATTTTTAGTAAATATATATAAACCATCTTTGGTGTGACTTTTAATTGTGGTCCAAGCTAAGCCAGCCAATCCACTACAAATTACAAATGTGCTACAAATTAAGTGGAGAAATTTGAACATCCCTTCAATCACCATTAGATTGTAACAATCAAAAGACACATATGATGATGAAGGCCTTGAAGTTTCTTATGTTTAGTGCGATAACACTCGCACTTGTCTCGTTAATTTTTGCCTCCGAATCTGACTCTGACTCTGAGAATAATGTGTTTGAGCCAATTGGTATAGCAGGATCCCAAGATGTCCTTTCAAAAGCAGAGATGATACCATTGAAATTAGGAGCATTTGGAGCAGAAAGTGTTGTGTTTGATCCAAATGGTGATGGGCCTTATACTGGAGTTGCTGATGGTCGCATTATTAAGTGGCTACAACATAATCAAACTTGGGTTGACTTTGCTGTCACCTCTTCACAAAGGTAAATTTAATTATGCCTTCATTTTCTAGATCTAGTAATTGTGTATCTTTACAATGTTTTTAATGTCCAATAATTATTCCTTCCTCATATAAACAAGCACTTCATTTCTTAATAAGATCAATCCTTCTTTTGCAAGCTTGACAAACAAACTAGGCAGCATTTCCCTACTTCACCACAAACAATTCTATGGAATTCATTAAAGTTTGAAAAAATGTGTACGACATTGTCCTTACTGGTATTTCACCCGATTAGGTGTATCCTTCAGGATTCAACAAGCTTTTCTAATATAAAACTAGAAACCATAATCTAACAAAAATTAAATAAAAAGAGAAGGAATAATATTTATCTTTGTTCTTATCTTCTTACTATTTCTCTGGAAAGTCATTAAGGCTATTCAATCTTTTCTCAAAAGGAAAGTCACTAAGGTTATTCAATTGTAGAATCAATTGTTTGTAACAATTGTTTATGGGAAGAAATATTTCTATTTAAAATATAAAACTTGTTTTTCCAACACTTTGTTTCTCCATCCATTTTTACTTCTTCATGTTTGACTTGATTAATATTATTTCGATTGGTACTTAATAATATATAAGAGTAATGTAGTAATTAAATTATCTCTTCATCTTTCAAATCAACAAGGTGGATGTAAATAACACAAGTTGGGTAGTAAAACCAACTATCACTATATTAGATATAATAACTACTCCCTCCGATCCCTTTTAGTTATTATATTGCGCTTTGATTGTGTTGAAGGGAGAATTGTAGCCGGGCTTCTGCACCTGAAATGGAGCATGTATGTGGAAGGCCATTAGGCTTACGATTTGATCAAGAAACTGGGGACCTTTACATTGCTGATGCCTACTTAGGCCTCCAAGTTGTTGGCCCAACTGGAGGATTGGCTACTCCACTAGTCCAACATTTTGAAGACCATCCACTTCTCTTCACAAATGACTTGGATATTAATGATCATGACCATGTCATTTATTTCACGGATTCAAGCACAATCTACCAACGCAGGTAATTAATTAATTGATGAGAGAAGTACGGAAAATATCTCTAAACTCGGCGTGAATTATTAGTTCCATCTATCCCTAAACTATTGATAGTCTTAAAAACATTCATTTACTTGACTAACTGAACTTAAGGCATAATACATAAATATGTCATTTTAACTTGATTTCAGCTAACATGTACTATCTCCAACTTTGAGTGTATACAAGTAGACACTTAAACTTGTACAAAATTGAACAAGTAAACGCATACATCTTACATGGCGTCCTATGTGACAATTCACATCCTACATGGTGTCCTACGTGTAATATGTCATGTAGGACATGTATACCTACTTGTTCAATTCTATACAAGTTTGAGTGTCGTGCACACTCAAAGTTGGAGGACATAGATGTCCAAGTTAAAATGACACATTTATATATTATGCCCTGAACTTAAATACACCCCCAATCTTGCAACATGAGTAAAATACACCCTTAAATACTCATCAAGTTTAGGAGTGTTTTCAACACTTCTCTCAACTTTTTATTAAGAGTCTCATGTTCCTACAAGAGTTTGAAATCACTTGTTATGTAATGTGACATATCAAGGGGTGTATCTAAGTTTCATTAGTCAAATAAAGAGGTATTTTTAAGGTTGTCAATAGTTCCGAAACGAAACTAATAATTTGCCTGAAGCTAGAGTGGTTTCAATACATATAAGAAGGTAACTAACTCTTTACCATGTAATCAAATATTTATGTAGGCAATTTGTTAATGCTACTGCAAGTGGAGACAAGACAGGCAGACTGATGAAATATGATAAATCAACTAAACAAGTAACAATACTACTACAAGGCCTTTCTTTTGCAAATGGTGTAGCCTTAAGCAAAGACCGGACCTTTGTCCTAGTAGCCGAAACTTCAGCATGTAGAATAACAAGGTATTGGCTTAAAGGTCCCAATGTAGGAACACATGACATATTTGCTCAACTCCCCGGATTTCCAGACAACGTTAGAATGAATTCAAAAGGGGAATTTTGGGTCGCGTTGCATGCAAAAGCATCACCACTTGCCCGACTCATAACATCCAATTCGTGGCTAGGCAAGGCGTTGTTGAGGAAATTCAATTTCCAGCAAATGCATAACTTGTTGGTAGGAGGGCAGCCACATGCTACCGCGATTAAGTTGAGTGAGGAGGGAGGAATTTTGGAGGTTTTAGAAGATGTTGAAGGGAAGAAGTTGAGGTTTATTAGTGAAGTTCATGAGGAGGAGGATGGAAAGTTGTGGATTGGTTCTGTTTTGATGTCTTCTTTGGGAGTTTATCAATTGTTATAAGGAAAATTATTTCTATTTTATTGAGTTAGGACATGATCAATCCTCCTTATTCAATATTTGTACTAGTCTAATCAATTATGTATTTGTTATTCCAACTCAATTTGCTATACTTTGGTTAGGTAGTTTTATAAGGATTCGTTTGGTGTAAAATAATTGTGGTATAAAATTGAATATATTATTGTGTTTTTTTACACCTAACATAATATGAAACAACAATACGTGGATTAAATATCAAAAGACAATTTTTTGGTTAAATTTTTAGTAGTACAAAGAACTATTAGATAGTGAAGCTATCATTTAAGTTTTATTAGTTTCTTTTAATCAAAATAGAGTGAATGAAAATATTATGGAATCGCGATCGGAACAAAAAAGAATCAAGTATATCGACTGTTCAAGTGGTACGAGTCGTCCATCAATAATAGTTCATTAACATTTATTGATTTAGTTAGACTATGAGCCCGTTTGGATTGACTTAAAAAAAAAATAGTTTTTAAGTATAAAAAAAAATCAAACTGAAATAACTTTTTAAGTCAAAAAATAAAAAGTAGGAAGAGACCGTTTGGTTTTTAATTTTTTATAAGTTATTTTTAACTTATTTTAAGTTATTTTTAACTATGCCAGACACTCTTTACTTATTTTAAATTATTTTTATATTTGTCAAACACTTCCAAAAAAAAAAAAATTGACTTAAAAATAAGTTTAATCAACTTTTAAGCAAATTCAAACACCCTCAGAATATTAGTAAGTACAACATACGTCCAATTTCTTTCTTAGCTCGGAGGGTAATATGTCCAATTAATCTTTACAAATTTAATGAAGGCTATTTTTATTAAATTTTGTTTATTGGTCCTAAAATTCAAAAATAACCCCCTTCATAGTTATTTTGAATTTCTACCATGATGTTAGTTTGATTTTTTGGTCGATTGGCACATTTTCAAAGTGCAAGTGAGATTATCAACTTAAAGGAAAAACTCTTTTAAATTATTATGATTTGTCTAACTTTATATTTGTAAAGTACTTTTATATTAGGCGGAATACATAAACAGGCCCCTGAACTTGTTCGGTATTTCCTCTCAGGTACCTCAACTACGCAATCTTCCTATTGAATCCCTGAACCACCCATAATTTGTACCTTTTAAATACTATTGGCTAACATAGCACAAAATGTGTTCTCACGTCGCTTGAGCGCGTGAAGACATTTTTAAAAAGCTGATGTGGAATCCACAACTATCTTCTTCCCTTTTTTTGTCTATTCAACCCTAATTTCCCCCTCTTTCTCTTATTTCTCTTCTTCCTTATTGCCATTTTTAAGTTGGAGCTTCTCAAGGTATCTCTCTTCTTTAGCTATTTTTTCTTCATTTCTTGCCGCAAAAAGTATAATAAAATTAAAATTACTACCAGCACTTACAAAGTAAGCTTTGGAAGGTGTTCAACAGTTGGTGAATCTCCTTTGCAAACTTGGTTTAACTTCTTTACAAACTTTATCCTACCAAATGTCTTGCATTCATTAATATTAAGCTGCAAATTCAAGCTAAATTTCTTGCTTGATCTTTTCTTTTTCATCTCATTTTGGTATCATTCCTAGCAAATCATTTCCATTTGAATTGCTTCGCTCAATTTCTACACAATCATTTCGACTTTGTATTATTTCGAAATCTTAGGATTTTAGTTTTAAATAGCATAAATATGTCACTAGAATAATTGAAATCACACCAATTTCTTAATTTTTTCTCATCTATAAGAATATTTGGGTCATATCGAAGTGGTATTGTGGGAAAATGAAATGCCTTTTGGTTTTTTAGGTTTTATTTGGGGTATATTTTAGATTGCTGATGTGTAAATTATTTAAATTAGTGGAGTGTTTTGATTGGTTGCACATTCTATGTGGGAAATATGGATTTCACGCGCATAATTAAAAAAAAAATTGTTGAAGTTTTGCGCCATGTCAGCCAAGTGTGTTTAAAAGTTACAAATTATAGATGGTTCAAGAGTTCAATAGGAAGATGGCTTAGTTGAGGTGCCTAAAAGGAAAAACACAACAAGTTTAGGGATCTATTTATGTATTCCGCCTTTATATTATATATAGATGTTATAATTGGGGACGTTGTTAAGGTAATTTTACATTATATTTGTCTTGGCTCCTTCCATATTTTGATAAGTGTTACTCCCTTCGTCCCATTTTATATGTCATCCCTTTCTATAAATAGTTCAACCACAATACTTGTCATTTTATAAAATTTATGCATAAATTACCATATTTTGCCTATTATACCCTTGATAGAATAGTTAAATAATCTTGTCATTTATTAATAAAGTTGACTTAAGAAAATATTAAATAAGGATAGAAGAGTAAAGTTACATTATTTCTTAATGCAAGTGTAAAGTAAAAAGGTGACATACAAAATGAGACGGAAGGAGTAGATGTTATGAAAGCAGAACAACTAGGAATTATTTAGTATAGAAAACTACGGATGTTAACAATTACAATCTTCAGAATACTCTCCTTTGGGGAATGTGCCAAAATCTTCTCTCTTCTTTTCTCCACACTTCCTCTCACCGGCGTGAAAGTTTTCGAAAATGACTCTGCTTCTTAACAATCATGGATCAAAAACTCATTTTTTCTTCGGGGGGATAAGTCTTGTGAGTTATTTAGCTCTAGCAGAAGGCCAGGTAGATGGTTCATCCTTACATAAAGCAGCAGGCGGTTCAACAGTAGCATCAAAATCGATGATTATAATTTATATTGGGTTTGTGAAGCGCTGCATCAGGCTTCACTAGGTACAGGTAACAAATGCAGAAGATGGGAAGAAAGGTCCAAAAATACACCTTTAGGGTGTTCCAAAATTTCAACAACAATGGGAGATTCTGTCACGATCCGAGCTTACACCCTAGACGTGGCCGGCACTCAAGAACTATTACTGGCTTCCAAACGAACTCTCATCTTCGCTAATTACAAGCGAAAGACTAACTCAAGCACACATAAACATCAAATTGAAAGAAACGTTTAAAAACAGTTTACTAAATTTCAAAATTTCGCTAAATATACTAAGTATCAAACATAAGTTTTAAATAAAATATCTGAAACTGAAAGACTCTCCAAAACTATCTATCTATGAAGCCTCTACCATACAAAGATGAGTGTCGGGACAAGACCCACGACTCCTTAAAATAACTACTACTAACAACTCATAAAACTGGAGTACTACGAAAGCAAAAAAGTTTCACTCATAGGCAGACAAGCGAATAAAGTGATCTCAACAGACTCTTGTTGAGGATCCTAATAACATGTATCTGCATCATTAAAATATGCAGGTCGAATGACATCAATACATTGAATGTACGAATATGTAATATAGTTGAATAACAAATAATCAAAAGAAAGAACTGTAATATATAACAATGTACTCAAACTGAATGTAAAGAAATAAATGAGTTAAATCATTTAAAACTTTACAAAATATTTTCTCATCTCTGAACTCAACATAATAATTGATGATTTTCTAACCGATAACCATCACTATTAGCTACGTGATAATACAACGTCTCACCCACGCTGCCAGAACTGTCATATACCTTGTCGGAGTATAGAACACCTCAACTAAGTGGATCCACTAAGCTATGCTTAAAAGCAATAAGGAATCATTTTAAAAGTATGACCATTTACCCATGTTGGCATACATGGTTTATGATGACTTTGAGTTGTCAGAGATAGTCCACATATCGATGCTAAATAATACTCCCAATAATAAATACTCATGCTCATATGTTTAAAAACATAATTCTTCCTCTGATTTGAGATAATTACTCAAACTATCCTCTTAAAAGAGGTAACTACTTTTGAAATATCTTTTGAACTCATAACTCATTTAAAAATCTCAATTTCTCTTTTATCAATGTAAAAATTGATACATATGGGAATACATAGTCCCCTTATACTCATACTCAATTTATACTTGAAAACTCTTTCTCAAAAACATATTTTAATATGATCATTGATGATTCGGGAAGTAATACTGCATAAACATTGATGGTATATCTAGATACCATACTGCTCATACATTGATGGCATGCTCGATTGTCATACTAATCATGTTTTAGAAACGCTTTCTCAAAATTCATCTTTATTTCCTCAAAAACTCCTTTTAAAACTCAAGTGTTGGCTTTAAAAAGTTTCTCAAGATTTATAACTCAATTCATAGGGTTCATGCAGAATTATGGACATGAATGACACAACTCTGGGATCTTAATAGCAATACAGAAACTCAGTCTCAAAACTCAAGAACTCATAACTCAACGATACTACTCATCTCATAGGGTTAATGATGAAATATAGACATAAACGAATCAACTCAATAATATTAATGAATAACATATAGGAATTCAATAATTAGGAATAGAATTTCAAAAAGAATCTGAAACTTAAGAACTCAAAATCAACTAATCTCAAGAATACTCAAATCTAGGGGTAGAATCCTAGATTTCTCTTTTACTTATTTGAAAGTAGATGTAGGGAGTGAGGACGAACTAGTCCAACACTATGATGGCCTTACATAACTGTAAGAACAATGTTCTTGAAGAATCTTGAAGAAGAACTTGATTAGAAGCCTTGAAACCCTAACTTGAAGGAGAAAAATCAAGGAAACCTTTCTTGAGATTTCTTGAATTAGTTTCTTGAAACTCTATGGCCAAAGATTATGATTTTCATTACTGATTCATAATTGTATGGAGGAATTTGAGTTGAAAAGAATGGAATTCATAGAGAAAGACTTACCTTGAGAAGAATCTTGAAAAAGATTGAAAGAATCTTGAATTGAGTCTTTAACTTTGATTTTCTCCTTATGGTTTTGCCTTAGGGTTTGAGAGAGAAGAGAATGATGAATTAAGATATGAAAATCTAATTGTTTTGGGTCTTTAAATAGTCAACAAATTCATTTAGAGTTTTTTTAGAGGTAAAAAGACAAAAACGACCCTTTTGAAAGTTTTCTCGTCGTCTAATTCGTCACTACACTGTATCAG